ATGGTATTCTTTGCCTCCAATACTGTATATGATGGTGAAATTGAGAAAATCGGAAGTGAGTTTCCAAAGGTATTCTCAAAGGAAGTGACTGGATTACCTTCTGAAAGAGAAGTAAAATAAAAATTTAACATTTGATCGTTTTTAAATTGGCCGGTTGGAGATTACATGATTGACTTAAAAATTATTCTAATTATTTTATTTTGATTATATGGTTTTGTAATTAATAAGCTATCAATTTTAAATTGAAAGTAGCATGCATAAACATTGAAATTTGATTACATTTAGCATAAATAATTATACAAAATTTCAAATACTTGCAATTCAAATCACAATATTTCATAATTATATAAAATAAGTTGATAGCACATTATGTTCTATTAGGAGCTTTTAACAATATCCAAGTAAGTGGATTTGAATCTAAAAGATTCAAATTACAGAGAAATACTTAGGTGGACCGGGTGCACCACATCATCTGTTGTCTATCCAATAAAAATATGACATTTAGATGGCATTAAATATAAATTAATTCTAATATTAATGATAGTAGAGAGAGAAAAAGCAAAAAATCAAATATGCATTCTATTATAAAAATAAAATCAATTTAAAAAGTGTCACACAATATTTTATTTAGAATACTTAAAGCATTTTAATTGAACAGATCACAAATGACATGATGCACTTAATTTACCTAAGTATTTCTCTCAAATTACATTATAAATTAATCACTTTTTTAGTTTATATAAATAAATAATTAAAAATAATAAAAATTTAACCACAAATTAACAACTAAACCTAACTCTTCAAGAAAAAATTACAAAAGACATCTTGAAACACATAATCAAGTTATGCATGGGTCAATTTTTTTTTAATATGCCTAAATCAAATATATCCTAATTTTTTTATAATATATTATTTTTTAATTTTTAATTTTTAATTAATTTCTTAATTTACATTGTGGCCTTATTAACCTACTCTAATTATCATTCATTTCCTCCAGTAACATGATGGAAGAAGAAGATTTAGTATCTAAAGAATAAATTGTTTAACTTACACATGGATAATATCGATATTATTTTATATTAATATTTTATTTTGTATATTATTTGAAAATTACAATACATTTAAAATATTATTAAATCTATTTATATTTATATTATACTTAAGTTAGAAATTATTGAAATATTTATCATTGATCTTTATATTAATATTAAAATATTTTGATTGAAATGAATTTTTATTATTAAACAATTTTTTAATAAAATTTGAAATAATTAATTGGTTACAATTTAGCATATATTCAAAAGTTAACTGGAAATTTTTTTTTATTTTGATAGGAATCATAGAATTGCACCCCAAAAACAGTTTTTTCTGTTCTTATTTTCCCAAATAAAACACTATATAATGGGTATGATAAAAATATAAAATACTATTAAATACGAACAATTATAATTATTTGATAACAGGCAAACTCTCCTTTACTTTTTTTTGTGCAAAAGAAAAACTAAAAGAAGAAGAAAATGAAAAATAAGGAATTAACATTTATGCAATTGGTTAATCGTGAATGCAAAATAACTAAATTTTTTTAATTTATAATACTTTTCTTGATTATTTGCAATTAACTACACAAAGGTAATATCACATTGAAAAGGTATGGTTTTGTATCCTTTTACAGCTATGATTAATCAATTTTTTTAATCTCCTTTGAAGGCTTAGTGTGAGTGGAATTTGAAGAATAACGTTGAGATAAATGAGGAGCAATGGAAGGAGTTTTTTGTGATTATTTGTTGGCTATTGTCAAAAAAGAGAAATCAATGTATTTTTGATAATAAATCTTCATTTATATTGAGTCAATTATTGCTCACACCAAAGGAATGTTTAGACACCTTCAAGCTAGATATCATAATAAGATGAGAAAGACTATGATGCGATACTTGTTGTGGATGGTGCATAGTCCAAGATTATAAAAGCTAAGCTATGGGGGTGATGAAAGACCGAGAAGGAAGAAGCTTAGAAGCTTTCATGTTTGTTTCTATCGTGTGTATGTATGTAAAAAAAATTAAAGTTTCAAAATATTTGCAAATTATAAATTCAGAGTTAACAAATTATACATTTCTTTCTTGTATCCTCTTACCAAAATATATGAGAAATTACTTCCAAAAAATTATAAAAATTTGATTACTTACATAGAAGATGTATGACTATAAGATAAAAATAAAATGGTAAAATTTGATATTACTTTAAAGGAGATAATAGATACAAAAACTTACATTAATATCTTGTAAAACTAATTCAAAACTTGTTGAATTATTTCATGAGGTCCATTTAGACATATTTCAAGGATGAATCACCTGAACCATGAGATGCTAGTCACATTAGGATCGATAACATGAATAACATTTTCGAAACAAACAACTCAAGCTAAGAAAATAGAAAATAATTAATACTCATATAAATTAATTAAGAGACAAAAAAGAATGATGAGGCATCTAAATATACAGTGATCTAAAAGATGAATGAAATATAAGAACCAAAACTAAAATTGACGAAAGGATATGTATCCAGTCGACTCTATTTATGATTATTACCTAAGCTAGTGTTGGAGAAAATATAATATATAGAGCTAGTAACCACTCATTTACTATATATAATAATTTTATTTTTCAAACTGGACTTGCGGAAATATAAACAAAATATAATCTATTATTGTATGGGTATAGAAAATAATTTGATTATTCCTTTTGATATGATTCGACTTGAATTTTGAATGGACAAATATAGTTAAAAGAAAATCAAATATATACCATCAATAATCACTCATTTATTTTACATATATATTATTTTATTTTAAAAACTATCCATTTTTCCCATAACTAAATATCTTTTTGAATTTTGAATATATTTATTACTTTATAATATGATCAAAATTTTCAGAAATTACAAAAATAGATCAATAACTTTTTATTCGAATTTATCATGTAATTGATATATAATTGGAAAACTTTGCATAATTAACTATATAAATTTGGAATTCAAATAAATATAAAAAATAATACTCCTTTTAAAATCTAAAATCTTTCTTTTAACCAACCCATTTATGAAGCTTAATTTTCAAAATATCTTTAGGATAAGTTGAAATTTTCAGAAATGATGAGGATTCTTTATTTTATATATATATATATATATATAAAACCTAGATTCAAAAGTTTTTGTAATATTTATATGTGCACTCAATCATATGAATCTAAATTTTTGGCATATTCTTATGATGGATGGAAACTTTAAATATATAGATATTAATTTGAATTTAAATATGATTAGATTTGAATTTCAAATAAGTAAAAAATAATTTTTATATATATTTAAAAATTAATAATTCATCTCGCACCTAACTTTAAACCTGAATAATATAATCATATTGAACCTAACTCCTATCTTGACTCCGAAGTATAGAATTGTAGAAAAGGCATTTTAAAGCTAAGAAGTATAACAAATTTTAAAATGAACACGTGACATTTTTTTATAATCTTTAACTCTACTAATGATGGAAGAGATGAGAGATTTTAATAATTTTATCAAAATTATTAAAAATATTTTCTTTTTCATTTTCCTACATTCAAATTGAAAGTTAATATTTCTGACGATAAAAATCTAGTTTTTAAATAAAAATTGAAACTATCCCTAGAAAACCTAAAAAAAATCGCGGATAAATTGGATATTATGGTGTGTGGGCTCGAAAATTGTCAGCGTCGAATTTGATTAATCGGATCAAGGGAAGTTTCTGCACGTTCAGGTTTATTAAAAATAAATAAAAGGAGGGGGGGGGGGGGGAACCTAGGTCCTAGGTCGAATATTTTTTTTTTTTAGTTGTTAAATGTTTTGACTGAGGAGACTGTGATCTAAATGAATTTTTTTGTCCTCCCAGCTATTCAAAGATGCTGCCCCTGCCACTGTTGAAAATTTCCTTGCACTATGTACAGGTAACAATGCGATGGTTTAATTCTAGCTAATTACAATCTGTTTAATTGATTAATCCCTTGGACATGCTAATTTATTTAGATTTTGTGGCTTATGATATAGTTTCCCCATTTCTCATTGTTCAGGAGAAAAGGGCGTTGGTAACTTAACTGATATGCCGCTGCACTACAAGGGCTCTTTCTTTTATCAGATTTGGAGTGGTTACTCTTATGTGAAGGAATGTTATTTTTTTTTTAACTGATCTTATGTCTAAGATCATTAATTTTTCTATAATGTAGATCTATACATCTTGTTGTGGTTGAAGATAAACCTTAGTGGTCTCTTCTCAAGCCAATTATCCTTGTTTATGTTGTGGGATAGAAGGTGTTATGTTATCATAATTTTGACATTAGTTTGTTATATTTTGTTTAGAGGATCCGGTTGTTAGTTGGCTTATAGCCGTTGGCTACTGCTCCTATAAATATCCTACAATTCAATTATATAGCCTTGCGAACTGTTTAGTACTTTCTTTTGTTTCTCCTAATTTCTCTCAGTCTCTCTCAGTTCTTCTACCTTCTCTGTTCTTCTCTCAATCTTCCCCATTCTTCCTTACTTTATCTATCATACAGAATTATAAACCTGCATAATAAGGTTAATGGTATAAGCTTGTATTTACTAAGTTATCGATCATATAATACTAATAAGTTTCAAAATGTCCAAACCTGTTTTGTATTCATCAACATTGTGGTATCTTGACTGTATATTGATGGCTGGTTTTCCTTGTGCAGGGGGGAGATTTTTTCAGTAAACTTGGTATGTCTTCTCCATATTTTCTTTGCTTTTCTTTTCGACTCACTCTGGATTGTGTTTGGAAGTTGAATATCAATTATGGAGTTAGGTTTTCATCATTTTTAGATTGGTTCCTATCACTATGTTAATTTTAGGTATAAGTTTCATATTCTCCAATGCTCCGTTTTGTATAATTTTCAATTTTGTCTCCTACACCTCTTCATCTTATCTTTAAAAAATATTTCTGCAGGGATTTGTGGAGAGAGCATTTATGGCGAAAATTTTCCCAGTGAGAATGCAAATCATAATTTTAAGTTATTGTACGAAATGTTACCTATTTATTTTGATAAACAAATTATTATAGTGTTTATGATTTATTTCAGATGAAAGAACCCCATTTAAACATAATAAACGGGGACTTTTGTCCATGGCCATTACCGATCGATATGGTATTGGTTCTCAGTTTTTAATCACATTGAAAGCTGATCCCGAACTTGACAGGTTTGTTCATATGTTTAACTCTTGTACGTATTTACGTTTAACTCTTGTATAATTTGCTAATCTTATTTTGTTGAATCTTGTGCAGGTTTCATGTTGTTTTTGGGAAGCTCTTGGAAGGATTTGATACGCTAAATAATATTCAAAATGCGCGTCTTGGGAAAAAAGTTCGAGTCACCAATTGTGGCGAATATAATGAAGGTAAGCCTCATTTACCCTTCTGTCTTACATGCATTTTGTTTGGCTAATTTGTTTGATTATTATTATTATTATTATTATTATTACAGCTAAAGCAAAGCCTTGCACAGAGCCAGCTCAGTCTTCTCAAAGGGCAAGTAGGAGGAGAATGAAAAACTGAGAGCCTGTTTGGATAGGAATTTTTGGGATCTAAAAAAGACTTTTTAAATGGTCCGGCCAATATTCTTTTTAAGCGTGAGAATCCTAGCCAACAAAGATAATAGAATAGCATTTTGTCACTTAATGAACAATATCGTGAGATGACCATTGATTGGCTGAATGCGTTTACAGGAGCAGACATCCCATGTACTCATTAAAGTCTTGAGCTAAAAGAGAATAGGATCTAGAGAAGTGATAACTTTGTTGCAGAGCTAAAAGAGGCTACGATCTAGAGAACTGATAACTTTGTTCAGTGTCGATGAACACTTTGCTGACTTTTAATAACTATTATGATATGATTCACAATGATAAATGGCATAGCTTCCTTTTGTTTGTATTTTGTTATTGGATGTCAATAATGAAACGAATTATGTTGCGGGTCTATTTTGCTGAAGTATATACCATTTTGATGGTTATTGACTGTTGAGAGTAGTTAGGTTATTTAACTGTCTTTTGATGATTTTACTCAGCATTCTTATAAATATTAGGATGCCTCCTCAATTGTAAGTAGTCTATCAACATAATGGAAGTCTATTGATCAGAATCTGTCTCTCTACTCTCTCTCTCTGTGGTTCCCTCTATCTCTTCTGTTCTTCCTCATTTTTTCTCATTTCTATTCTACTTCTCTATCTCTCTTCTACTTTCTTTCCTATTTTCTATATCACTCTGTCTATGACTCTTTCTTCTTATGTTTTCGGGAAAGGGTTGGACTTGATGATTTCATAGTATGTGATATTGGAATGCCAGCTCGAAGAACAAGTCCAATGCATTCAAGTTGTCCTTTCTCTCTCTCTCTTTTTTAAATCCGCTTAAATATTCCTTAAAGGACAATATATAGATAGAGGATGAGTAGTTTAAACTTAATTATACGGCTAATAATATAAAGCATATCCTCAAGATCTGTTAATGTATGGTTTGATCCTCCATGTCCTTGATATCATCATAATTTGTAGATTATGATACAAGAGACCTGACAATGCAAACTGTAAAGGGGTATTTCCCCCTCATATCTTTGTCTAGAGATTTGGTCTGATCAAAATAAAAGGGCAAGACGGAAATTGAAAATCCTAAACTTCTTCAGAGTTCAATCTTTCTATGGGAACAACAAAAAATGATGACTTTAAACAAAGAAGCTAGCGACCGAGAAAATGTGAGAGCGACAGGGATTTGGATCCCACGCATGGAATGCATGGCGGCATGTGGCAGTTTATTAGGCATTGATTGTATCAACGGCTAAAATTTTGCTGGCTCCATTTTTTCCCAGTGCTTATTCCCTGTTCGATTTAAAGCCCCTGGTGGAATTCCTCCATAAACCATACTCTTTCTCAACATATACACAAATAAAATCATCCTCTTTTCCAACATATGCATAAATAAAACATCCTCTTGTCTTAACATAAATAAAAATTAATCTCAGACATTACAATAAATGGCAGTCACTTCCTTGTTTCTTCCTTTCCCTCAAACAGTGTGACGAAGCAATACAATTATATATAGAAGGGTTTAATAACATGGAAAGTGAAAAGAAAACTACCGGCGTCTTCAACACCCACAAAGGTTGATGTCTAAAAAAAATTGGACGACAATTAACGAGCTTGTTGGTGGAATAAAGAAATGGGTTTTGTCCCTGCAATGTGCTGACTGAACAATGAAGGGAGATGAAAAAGTTACTATCGTCTATCCACCCGCAGCTTCATTTGATTATTAGCAACACAAAGATTTTCGACAATAGATTTAATCTTACGCTTCTCACACTACCACATGTCACCATGTATTCCATGCGTGGATTCGCCCCACTCATGGAATCCAAATCCGAGCAACAGTATGCAAAGATACTGAGGAGCACATCCCAATCAAAAATAAAAAAAAAACAATAATATTCTTGCTGGGTTTTGTATCTATATGTAGGTACGCTCGGAAGTGGAAGAGATCAAGAAAGATTCATAATTAGCTTCTGATTAGAATGAAACAAGTTACCTGCACAATATGAGGATGAAAGACACACGAAAGTAAAGCAACTTGAGATTTAAATTGTTGCTCTCCAGTAAAGTTGTATCGTTGGAATTCTAACCATTTTCACACCCCTTTATCACCGGTCTATCTACATTGCTTGAAAAAGAATAGAAACTTAGTTGATATATGAAAGAGACGCAAAATGAGAATTCAATCTTGAAACACAAACCCTGTGTTCGGCAACTCAAGAAACAAGGAGAAGGGCAGACATGACTTTCACGTGTTGGATTGGCCTGCACACTACTGCAGACAAGGAAATTAACGTCGCCTTTTAACGTCGGTTATTACAAAAACTAATGTTAAAAAAAAAGCGGTAGCGTATTTATAAATAAATGGAAAGCATTTAATATCGATTCTTCAAAAAATCATAGTGGAAAGATATTTCACATCGGTTATTAAATAAACCGACGTGGAAAATAATGTAAAAAAATTTCAGATAAATTATATTGTATTTCACATCAGTTATTACAAATAAGCGACATGAAATAATACTTAAAAAAATAAAAAAAATAATAACTTTTAACATTGGTTTTAAGGAAAACCAATGTTAAAATAGTTTACAATACAAAAATAAAAAAATTAGTAATTCATGTCGGTTCCATAAGGAACCGACGTAAATAATGGAAACCATGTTAGTTTCCAGGACAACCAACGTGGTTTCCCTTCTTAAAAGCTGTGTTTTGCATCAGTTACGCAGAACACAGTAGAAACATTTCTCTTCCCATTTCAATTTCGCATTCGGTCCAGCACTGAAAGGTTATGCCTTTTCCCTCCATTGCCTTCGTCTAGAACCTCCAGCCACCATGGGTCTGCCGTCTACCGCTGTGGGTCTGCCTTTTCCTTCCATTGTAGCTTTCTCCCTCTTCCTTGTTCCTTCTTACTTGTTCTTCCTCCATTTTTGCAGGTTAAAGATCTCTCTCTTTTTCTCCTCCTTCCCTCTTCTTTCTTCCATTGCTATTAAATGCTCATCTGTTTCAATAATTTTTTGTCCTTTATTGCTTTGAGGTTTCAAATTTCTTCTCTAGCCTTCCTTTTCTATTGTTGAAGATTTGGGTTTCATTTTCTTCTTCACACGTGATGTATTCCAAGTAAGTTTCATTTTTTTCAAATTATTTTCTTTGATTTTTGAAATATTTATCTTAGATGGATAGATTTATATTGAAATTTTATAAATTTTAATTATAATTGTTGATATTTTAAATTTGATATCGTTGTTGAAATTTATAATTTTTTTTTGGTTGTTGAAAATTTGATATTGCTAAATCTATGTTAGAATTTAAAAATAGCTTGAGATTTTAGTTGATTTGGGTTAAATTTGATTGTTGAAATATTAGAATGTCATATTTTAAGGGGAAATGCTGCTGAATTTTTTCTTAACTTTATAATTTGATAAAAAAATATAATTGCAATAATAAAATATATATGCTTTTATATAACCAAAATTTTTGAAATTGTGTGTTTTTTCTTTTAAATTGTTACATATATGTGTTTAGAAAATGCTTAGAATTATATTTTTAAAATTGTTATTGTTTGCGAGTTTGATTTGAAATTGTTTAGAATTATATTATTTGAATTTTATCGTTGTTGAAATTTGTGGAGGTCCTATTTTAAGGAAAAATTGTACCAAACTTTTTTCTAATTTTTGCAAAATTTATATTTTGGTAGTTAGACAATGGATTATATTTGGATGAATTCTAAGAGAACGAGTGAAGAATATGAGAACGGGGTGAAATATTTCCTTGAATTTTCTAAGAGGAATGCTCCTAGTAAAAATGGATTATATTTTTGTCCATGTATAAAATATTTAAATGATAGTTGACAGGGTATTGATGAAATTAAAGAGCATTTGTTTTGTGATGGGATAAATTTGAGATATAAGAAATGGATATGGCATGTTGAAACTGAAGGATTGAGTTCCATTTCCCAAGGGCAAGAAGTAGGTGATGAGGGTGCTTGGGATGATAGAATAGAAGATATGATCTATGATATTGAAATGGAGTCCTTTGCGCAAGTACATGCAAATGAGAGCTTGCAAAATTATAAAAATATAGAGCCCTATAATGGAGAAGAGATTGATGGCACTCAAGATGTATTGGTTCAACAACTTTCGCAAGAATACTTTTTGAAGTGAAGAGAGGTTGAACAAAACTTTATAGTATTTTAGTAGTTAAATAATTATATATATAGATTAACATATTAGTTTTATGGAGAACATATTATTTTAATTCATTTTATGAATATATAATATAGTTGAATGTTCATTGTAAATTTGCTAGCTGGCTATTTGTATTGCTGTATAAACTATAAAATTTGTAGGTTTAAAAGTATGGATGTCAAGAAAAACAAAATAAAATTTTAAAAAAAATTTAACAACGGTTATATCGAAAACTGATATTAAAATCGGTTTCCATCAATTAACTAACATGGAAAGGGGACTTTCCACATTGGTCATTAATCTAAACCAACATGGAAAGTCCATTTTCCACGTCGGTTAATTAACCGACATGAAAAGTAAACTTTTTACTACCCTATTTTTAACTATCCCTTTATAATTGATGTGAAAAGTTTAAAATAATTATTGTAAAAAGTCTATCCTGGTGACATGATATTAAATGGAAGAGAGAGAGGGGGGAGGGAGATAAGTGAAGAATATGAAGAGACAAGTTGGAGAATATAGAAGATCAAACCAAACCAACCAGAGAAACCACAACCTTATTCATCTTCACCCCAACGTCATGTTGTTTTGTTATTTTGAGGCAGAGGGAAAGCTGAGAAAAATGCTAAGAACTATGGTGACTGAGAGTCGGATTCTCTCCTTTGAGAGAAGCCTCCTCTGCCTCTCCTTTGAGGTAGAGGAAAATCTGGACCGTCCAGAGTTAATCTAGACGGTCCAGGTTTAATAATTTTAATTTTATTTTTTATTTATATTTTTAAATTAAAAAATATATAAAAATTATAAAATTTTTTTAATAA